GCATCCCGAGTCGGTTCGGATGATTTGGACCCGCTACGGGAGAGCTTAGGTGGACACGTTCGCCACGAGCGAGAATGCGCACTGCCCGCTGTTTGGAGCTGACTGCCCTGCATTCTCGTGTGCTTGATACGCTCTCGGAGGCGCGGGTGCCCTCCATGAGACATTTCTATGCTCTAAAATGGGGAGTGTTTGTGGTGCTGTGATGTTCACATCGACCCGGCTGCTTGCTCAGTGTCGGATGTTCTGCGTTTTCTACAGTACAGGCTTGATAGTGGATGTCTACCATCAACATTGGCCGCTATTGCCTCGTTTCGTTCCCCGCTGGGCGGGCAATCGATCGGTAGGCACGCGCTGGTGGTGAGTGTTCTTAAGGGGGCGAGGAGGTTGCATTCCCCGCGTCCGCCTTCAGTTTCACCCTGGGACCTAGAGGGGGTGTTAAGAGCTCTTTCACAACCACCATTCGAGCCTTTAGCATCCATTGCTATGAAGGAGCTATCTCTCAAACTGCACTTCTTCTTGCCCTCACTTCGGCTAAGCGCATAGTGGATTTACATGCGTTTTCTGTGGACAGTGATTGTATTCGCTTCGGACCCGGTGACTGCAGCGTCACTCTTCGGCCGAGACGGGGCTACGTGCCTAAATCACTATCTACCCCCTTCAGAGCGCAGACTGTTTCGCTGTCTGCCCTGTCTTCTGAGTCACTGACCTCGCGTGATGCGGACGCTCAGATTTCGGTGTGCCCCGTCAGGGCTTTGAGGATTTTCATTGACCGTTCGGCCAGCTTTCGGCAATCTGACCAGCTTTTCGTGTGATACGATGGTTGTGCGAAGGGCCTGGCCATGTCAAATCGGAGGCTTTCCCACTGGATTGTGGACGCTAACACGGCTGTTATATGAGCCACGGTTTGGAATGTCCTTTGCACATTAGGGCCCACTCAACAAGAGCTATCGCCTCCTCCTGGGCGTGGTCGAGAGGTATGTCTATTCAAGATATATGCTTTTCCTCATGCCAGCTTGGTCAAGCTAGTTATTTAATGGACTTTAAAATTGCTTTCATAATAATGAAATGTTTATAGATATGTTAAGTCATGTTATTTATATATTATAATCCATATAATTAAAATGAAAGTTCAGCAGTTCGCTTGACAGTAAATAAGGATCTAATCCTAAAGTATACATTTTTTTAAAATACCATTGTTTTCCGTTGTTGGTGAAGTGTTATTTTGGTTTCCGATTACAAAGGAGAGGCTATGCAAGGTCCTAAAGATGGCGGCCTCAACAAAAAAGTCACGTGACTGAAACCCATGAATAAACGGCCGTGGTTTCAGCAAGCGCCTCAGCTTCACCCCATAGACATAATAAATACCTCACCCACGTCAAAGAGTATTGCCCATTTTCGAATATCCGGGAGTGACGTGCGGTGACGCGCTGCCAAGATGGCGGCGGTCGGCTCCGCCCATTTTAGGCTTCAAAAATGCTCTTCTGAACCCTACGAGTGACGTCACGGACACTACGTCCATGTTTTTTTACAGTCTATGGTAATATGTCAGAATCAGAATGAGCTTTATTGCCAGGCATGTTTACACATACGAGAAATTTGTTTTCGTGACAGAAGCTTCCAGCACGGAGAGCTGAGTTAGTTTGTGCAGGAGGAGGTTTGGGATGATGGTGTTAAAGGCCGAGCTGAAGTCCACGAACAGGATCCTCACATAAGTCCCTGGTCTGTCTAGATGTTGCAGAACATAATGCAGTCCCATGTTTACTGCATCGTCCACAGACCTGTTTGCTCTGTAGGCAACCTGAAGAGGATCCAGCAAGGGTCCAGTGATGTCCTTCAGGTGGGCCAGCACCAGTTTTTCAAAAGACTTCATGACCACAGACGTTAGAGCCACAGGCCTGTAGTCATTAAGTCCTGTAATTTTGGATTTCTTTGGGATGGGGATGACGGTGGAGCGTTTGAAGCATGAAGGGACTTCGCACAGCTCCAGTGATCTGTTGAAGATCTGTGTGAAGATGGGGGCCAGCTGGTCAGTACAGGATTTCAGACAGACTGGTGTAACACAGTCTGGGCCTGGTGCTTTTTTCCTTTTCTGCTTCTGGAAGACCTGGCGCACCTCGTCTTCACTGATCTGAATTGCAGGTGTGGGGGAGAGGGGGGTTTCTGGGGGTGTGAATGGTTGTGTGGAGAGGTGTTCAGGGCGGGTGTGGGGTGTTTTTTCAAACCTGCAGTAGAACTCGTTTAGATCGTCTGCCAGTTGTTGATTCTCCACAGTGCTGAGGGATGGTGTCTTGTGTGTCATAATGCTATCTGCTCACTCTTCAATGTGATGAAATACAAAAAGACGCCAGCAAAATTATTTCCTGTATTATGACTCTGAGGGTGGGGATGGGATTAATATGGGCCGAAAAGTTTTTAAAATTTATTTATTCAGTTTTAATCTGCTACCCCTACCCAAATGTTTGAGAAAATCGTATTTATATTTAAAAACAGAAGAAAATGTAAAAAGACCAGACGTCACATCTCATTTGCAACGGCGGAGTTTAAAGCTTTAAAAATCAACGCTGGTTAGAGACTTTTTTTGCATACTATTGTGTGCTGATGAAATTTTTGCCGCTGTGACAGCGGGAAATTCTCCACCCTTCACGCACGCCCACCGGCTCCGGTAACTCACACCGCGCTGGGTATTGTAGTTTAATTCTAAGCGCAGTGAATGGGTGAGGGTGGATCAAGCAGCAGCATGAGAACTACAACCCCCATGACGAACAGAAACATGAGCGCGCTGAATGAGAGCATAAAGATGGGGGGCAGGGGGGTTTGAAACTAGGCGATGATGAGACGATTGCACGATTCTCTGATGAGCGTGGTACAGTTAAGCATTTGAAAATGCGGTTCGGCCTCGTATAGAAGAAACATGTTCTTAAGTGATTTGGCTTTTTATTTGATAATTTTATTCTTTGCTTTAATTTGCGGTTAGAAGGACATTTTTTTTTTACAGTTGCGTCTCTACAACCTTGCATCCTTGTTCCTGGCTTTCGTCAGGTTCACCAGACAGACTCGACTTCCTCACTGTGCCGATATGTATCGCTTGCAGTCACTGGCAGCTCGATCACTGATCGCCGGAGCTCTCGATCAGTGTACCCCCTTAACACTGACATCTCTTACTGGGGTACGACACAAATCTCAAGGTCCGTCCGTGGAGAAGTACGGCCAGATGCGCTTCCTCACCGCCGAGGCTAAAGTGTCTGCTGGGCGCCTCAACGGAAAGATGCGAGAGAAAACCCTGACTATGGACACACTGAACCCGCAGGTGAAGGCTGTGGAGTACGCTGTGAGAGGACCCATCGTCATCAAAGCCGGAGAGATTGAGAAATACTTGGAGGAGGTGAGAAAATGTTTCATAGATTGTTGTTTCAATGCAGCATCCCAGAGCTAAGTTACATGTTCGTAAATGTTTGCTTTTGGACACCCCAATAAAACAAGCGCGGTAAAGTTAGTTTTAGGTTCGATATTCGCCAGACATTCGCTTTCGCGTGCCTCTGTTCTATAGAGTCGACAGTCCTAAAAAGATACCACTACCACGATTAGTTTTAACAATATGCAACAACTTTATATCGACATGAAAATATTATTTAAAAACCGCCCAAGTGTTCTGTAGCAGCAAATTTAAACCGGAGAAAGCGTTGACGTGCTATAGCGGCGCTTGATGCGTAAGGGACCGTCTGACAATTCCAACGATTGGGTTTAAAACGTCCAATGTATTTTAACTAACCTGACTTTTAACATTTAAAATAAAACATTGACAAACTGTAAAGCGTGTATAACTCATAGTGATTTACTACAGGCGGGATTTTGCCAATACCTTCCTTCATATATGCAGTACAGTACACAATTATAATAAACTACTATAATTACCTAAACGGCTGTTCAAGGTGGTACTACATTCCTAGTGTCCAGACTGACTTACTACAGGTGAGATTTTGCAGATATCTCCCTTACTGTACGTACAGTATATAATTATTCTTACTGTGCGTTCACACCGCCGGCGGCGAGAGCGTTCCAAAGGCTGTAGCACGTTTGTAGTTACAAGACTGATTTACTACAGGTGAAATTTTTGTCAATTTCTTTCTTACTGTACGTACAGTACATAATTATTTTTAGAAAACAATTACTGTAATTCAACATAAGGTTTTTTTATGTTCCAACGGTTGTAGTACATTCCTAGTGGCCAGTCTGACTTACTACAGGTGAAATTCTGCCAATATCTCCCTAACTTTATGTTCCAAAGGTTGTAGTACAGTCCTAGTGGCCAGGCTGACTTACTACAGGTGAAAATTAGCTAATTTCTTTCTTACTGTATGTACGGTACATAATTATTCTTAAAAAACAATTACTGTAATTCACCAAAAGGGTTTTTTCATGTTCCAAAGGCTGTAGTACATTCCTAGTGGCCAGACTGACTTACTACAGGTGAAAGTTTGCCAATATCACCCTTACGTACATACAGTACATAATTATTTTTCAAAAACCATTACTGTAATTGACCAAAAGGGTTTTTTCATGTTCCAAAGGCTGTAGTACATTCCTAGTGGCCAGACTGACTTACTACAGGTGAAAGTTTGCCAATATCACCCTTACGTACATACAGTACATAATTATTTTTCAAAAACCATTACTGTAATTGACCAAAAGGGTTTTTTCATGTTCCAAAGGCTGTAGTACATTCCTAGTGGCCAGACTGACTTACTACAGGTGAAAGTTTGCCAATATCACCCTTACGTACATACAGTACATAATTATTTTTCAAAAACCATTACTGTAATTGACCAAAAGGGTTTTTTCATGTTCCAAAGGCTGTAGTACATTCCTAGTGGCCAGACTGACTTACTACAGGTGAAAGTTTGCCAATATCACCCTTACGTACATACAGTACATAATTATTTTTCAAAAACCATTACTGTAATTGACCAAAAGGGTTTTTTCATGTTCCAAAGGCTGTAGTACATTCCTAGTGGCCAGACTGACTTACTACAGGTGAAAGTTTGCCAATATCACCCTTACGTACATACAGTACATAATTATTTTTCAAAAACCATTACTGTAATTGACCAAAAGGGTTTTTTCATGTTCCAAAGGCTGTAGTACATTCCTAGTGGCCAGACTGACTTACTACAGGTGAAAGTTTGCCAATATCACCCTTACGTACATACAGTACATAATTATTTTTCAAAAACCATTACTGTAATTGACCAAAAGGGTTTTTTCATGTTCCAAAGGCTGTAGTACATTCCTAGTGGCCAGACTGACTTACTACAGGTGAAAGTTTGCCAATATCACCCTTACGTACATACAGTACATAATTATTTTTCAAAAACCATTACTGTAATTGACCAAAAGGGTTTTTTCATGTTCCAAAGGCTGTAGTACATTCCTAGTGGCCAGACTGACTTACTACAGGTGAAAGTTTGCCAATATCACCCTTACGTACATACAGTACATAATTATTTTTCAAAAACCATTACTGTAATTGACCAAAAGGGTTTTTTCATGTTCCAAAGGCTGTAGTACATTCCTAGTGGCCAGACTGACTTACTACAGGTGAAAGTTTGCCAATATCACCCTTACGTACATACAGTACATAATTATTTTTCAAAAACCATTACTGTAATTGACCAAAAGGGTTTTTTCATGTTCCAAAGGCTGTAGTACATTCCTAGTGGCCAGACTGACTTACTACAGGTGAAAGTTTGCCAATATCACCCTTACGTACATACAGTACATAATTATTTTTCAAAAACCATTACTGTAATTGACCAAAAGGGTTTTTTCATGTTCCAAAGGCTGTAGTACATTCCTAGTGGCCAGACTGACTTACTACAGGTGAAAGTTTGCCAATATCACCCTTACGTACATACAGTACATAATTATTTTTCAAAAACCATTACTGTAATTGACCAAAAGGGTTTTTTCATGTTCCAAAGGCTGTAGTACATTCCTAGTGGCCAGACTGACTTACTACAGGTGAAAGTTTGCCAATATCACCCTTACGTACATACAGTACATAATTATTTTTCAAAAACCATTACTGTAATTGACCAAAAGGGTTTTTTCATGTTCCAAAGGCTGTAGTACATTCCTAGTGGCCAGACTGACTTACTACAGGTGAAAGTTTGCCAATATCACCCTTACGTACATACAGTACATAATTATTTTTCAAAAACCATTACTGTAATTGACCAAAAGGGTTTTTTCATGTTCCAAAGGCTGTAGTACATTCCTAGTGGCCAGACTGACTTACTACAGGTGAAAGTTTGCCAATATCACCCTTACGTACATACAGTACATAATTATTTTTCAAAAACCATTACTGTAATTGACCAAAAGGGTTTTTTCATGTTCCAAAGGCTGTAGTACATTCCTAGTGGCCAGACTGACTTACTACAGGTGAAAGTTTGCCAATATCACCCTTACGTACATACAGTACATAATTATTTTTCAAAAACCATTACTGTAATTGACCAAAAGGGTTTTTTCATGTTCCAAAGGCTGTAGTACATTCCTAGTGGCCAGACTGACTTACTACAGGTGAAAGTTTGCCAATATCACCCTTACGTACATACAGTACATAATTATTTTTCAAAAACCATTACTGTAATTGACCAAAAGGGTTTTTTCATGTTCCAAAGGCTGTAGTACATTCCTAGTGGCCAGACTTACTTACTACAGGTGAAAGTTTGCCAATATCTCCCTTACTGTACGTACAGTACATAATTATTCTTAGAAAACAATTACTGTAATTCAACATAAGGGTTTTTTTATGTTCCAAAGGTTGTAGTACGTTTGTAGATACAAGGCTGACTTACTACAGGTGAAATTTTGCTAATTTCTTTCTTACTGTATGTACAGTACATGATTATTCTTAGAAAACAATTACTGTAATTCAACATAAGGTTTTTTTTATTTTCCAATGGTTGTAGTACATTCCTAGTGAACAGTGTGACTTATTACAGGTGAAATTTTGCCAATATCTCCCTTACTGTACATACAGTACATAATTATTCTTAGAAAACAATTACTGTAATTCACCAAAAGAGTTTTTTTTATGTTCAAAAGGTTGTAGTACAGTCCTAGTGTTAGACTATATACGCTTACTGTATATACTGTAAACTGTCTATTGGCCACTGAGTTATTTTTGGTAAATATATTACGCACAAGTAGGTATTGGAACTGCTGTTGCTTCTACAACACATTTCTTTAATTGATTCAAAAACAATACACAAAAGATGTTTTCTTTTTATTATAAGAGCTTAATTAATCACATTCTCACCGTTATAAATAACGGTATTGTTTGTCATTTCCAAAATTGGACAGAGACAGATTGGTCCAGATCTCAGAATTATATGGAATGGTATGCCCTACATTCCGTTTTGAGAACTTTTTCACGACAACACTGAAACCACCTGTTAAAGCCCACAGGTCCTTTGCTGCCTTTTGTTTCCTACCACCAGTCATATTCTACAAAGTTATTAAATAGACAATGTTAAAGTACAAATAAAATTGTAATATAGAAATGACAATAACAAAACTAAAACAGTGAAACATTAATGTGTATTGCTGAAATTGAAGGCTTGAAAACTTAAGCAAAACAAATAAATGCTTACACACTCTACAAACTAACTGTAAATTCTGTAATGCAAAAGAACTATAGGCTACATATTAATGTTTGCGTCAGTCTTAACTTAAGAAATCAATTATTTAAAATGTTTAACAGTTTACACGAAATACAATTGTATTTAGTCGAAAATTATAGTCCAATGTCAACACATACTCATTTGCACAAAATTTGCTATATTTAAGAGTTAAAGTACGGGAACCGTACTGCATTTTCAATAAATTGTATTTATGTCATATTAAAAGGCTACTTTTACTACTACTACTACTAATAATGATGATAATAATATTTATTTATTTATGTATTTATTTATATATTTTTTTATTTATCAGAGCCTAAATCCCAAGGCCCCTCAATCCAGTTTGAACAAAAAAATGTGCATGCATCATCCTCAGACCCTCATGACAAAAAACTGTTTTGCCTATATCTTGCAACCCCAATTTCAACATGCCAATTTTCGTTAATTTCTTATGCTTGGGGCTAAACAGCAAATTCTGTCAAGTGAATGATAAGGGCTGTAATACTAATATTATCCACAAGAGAAGCAGGATAATGCACCACTTTACGTCTAATATTTTTAAATCCGTATTAATGTCAGTGAATTTCTTTATGTACTTCTTGAGATTAGTTGCCATTTTTGGAACGTTCCAATTTTTCTTATCAGTTTAATCAAACCCTAACCTACATTGTCAGTGGAGGTTAAAGACTGATGA